AATCCAAAATGGTAGTTCTATTAATTGTATCTACAGAAGCTCCAGGAGAAGGCAAAGGCTGTTCAGTTAGAACCTAAAGAGAAAGGAGGAAATAGTAGGAGGTTTATAAATATTTTTTTCAGTTTGAATATGCAAAATGAAAAAAAGCTTTGAAGTTCTCTAGAACTTAATACATTCTGATTAAAAGATAAACCAACATATCTCTCTCTCTCTCTCTCTCTCTCTCTCTCTCTCTCTCTCACACACACACACACACACACACACACACAAAACCACACACATCAAAAGAAATAGATCACTGCCTTATGCATGACAATGCATAAGATGTCATGTATGCATGACAATGAATTCCATCAGCTTCAGTAGGACTCATCACGCATTTTAGAATATGATTGCTAAGAATGGCACTGAGTTTGAGAAAATCTGAATCCCATTAAATTGTTTTGGCTTTTCCAAATACAGGGAAATTGTCCTAGAAATACTTTAGGAATTCAATCAGTAGCTTCTTTGTTACAGCCAGAAATGGATTTTTATTATAAAAGAGACATGGTATAATAGACAGTTTCGGGCAAAAATTGTAATACTTGTGGTCTAAATGACTGGTCTCACTGTCCTCCTCCACTGGTTTCACCATTGACTATGTTATTGTCAAGTTAAAAATTCAAGTTATGGTTGAATATGTTAGAGGACATCAACTCAGACAAAGCTTGCCTAGATTCTGATCTGGATTTCTTCTGCTGAACAGATGATTGGAATCTTCTTCTCTTGACAGTTTTAATCTCACTCCCACAGGCTTGTCTGCTGAAGAGCAGATGGTGATAACTATTGGGTTGTGGTTTGCATATTTTGACAGTAGAATCTTAAGATTCATAAGAACTATGAAAAAGCAAAACAACTGTTATAGACTTATGTCAACAAAATATAGGCTTGAAATTAATTAGCCTTATAATATTTTAGTTTTTGTATTTTTAGCAGCTGTTAACAGAGAAAGGAGAAGGAATACAACAGCTGCTGAGGCCCTAATGCCCTGACAAATACATTGCACTCATTGGGTGGTTTTATACTCCTACTTTATTCAAGGCTATGTGTGCTGGTAATAGCACTTCCTCTTCTTTTTTTAAAAAATGCAGACTAAATCAAATGTAATGGGGGAACTGATTTGATGAAACCTGAAGCGGGTTCTCCTCCCTCCCCACCCCATTTGCTGTACTTTAAAAAAGATATTCATACACTGTGGGAGTTCTCGGGAAGTCATGGTGAAGTGAAAATGACTCTGTGAAAGCATATCCAAAACTAATAGCAAAGACCAAAGAACAATGAATAGACTGTTTTTTTTAGAATCTCTCTAGACAAGGAGAAGACTGGAGATCACCCATGCGAACTCCATATGGCTGCTCCTTGTAAGGAATGCAGGATAAAAGTCTACACAGGTTTGAGTACTGGAAGATGAATACTGGAGTACTGGATTAGCTGTCTTGCTCGCAACCCAGCAAAGCTCTTTAAAGGACATTAAATTTGCAAGCCTCTATTTCTAATCATTCTCAGAAATTCCTTATCTAACCATCATAAAGCTATTAGAAACCATCAGAATAACAAGTTTGAAAAGTTGCCAGGAGTGTTTACTTTCAGTTCTGAGCAAAAGAAAAAATAATTATATGCTTAAGAACTTAAAGAGTTTGAAATAAATAGCAGATTGCTAAATAAAATTGATCTAAGAAAGTTATAAACAGTCCAATTAAATTTGGAATATTGACTTTCACTGTAAGATTTTGGAATTGACTATAAAAAATATCTTCTTATGGGAACCTAATCTTAGGCTAATAACATAGATAAGTGGCTTTATGATTTGAGAACTGGACACTAGAGAGAATTAAAGGTTCCAAATAGATGGGGAAAAAACCTGAGCCTGTACAAAAATGGCATAACACTTTCAATCATAACATTGGAAATATTAAAGGAGATATTTGAAGACTAGAGCTAGAAATGAGTAGGTACAATATAAATGGTGTCAGTAATAATGTCTGACTAAATGGGTAGATTATATTCAAAATACGTTAATGAGAGAATGATAGTTGTGAAGAAAATTTTGTCTGATAAGACAGAAAGAATAGAAAGTGGAACCAGACATGATTTGGAAAAGGACCATTTTATTGGACATGTACAAACAAACCTGGCTTAATTTAAAAATTAAAGGGGAAATACAAATGACAAACAAGAGAATGATCTCAAAAATGTTTTCTTATTGGGTCTACAAAAGGACTCCCAGACAGTGCACCAGATCTGATTGAGAGCACCAAAAATGGTAAAGTCCCAGATCCAGAAGGCTCCAAAACCCAGAGCCATTCAGTCTTGCCAGGATTCAGATAAAGCCTGTTGTTTCCTATCCAGACCCCCACAGCTTCCAGGCACCAGGACAAGACATCCATAGCATCACTTAGTTTGCCAGGGACAGAGGATATAATTAAGTATCATCAGCATACTGATGATACCTTACTCCATGGCAACAGATTATTTTCACCCAGCAGTTTCATTTAGATGTTAAATAAAAATGGAGAGAGTACTGAACTGTGCAGAAACCCACATTGTAAGGGCCAGAACCTCTCAATCCCATTTTGTATATGTATAAAGAGGTTAATATGTCAGTAACTCCTCATGAAAAGAGAATCAATATGAATGAATCAATCAGTGTTTCCTCATTGTAGCTAACTGTGGGATATATTTGCCTCAGCAAACTGTTATTTCAGTGTTTGTGTATGGTGTTTGTTATCTTTATCTGATCCTCTATATCTGAGGCAGTTTTGAGCAATAAAAGTTAAAGTTTTAAAGTCGTGCCTTGTTATCCAAATGCAGCCTTATAGACTTATATTTTTATAAAGGAACGTTAAATCCTCTAATACTGGTGAAGCACTTAGAGCTGCTACACTCTCACTGCATATCAAGTGAAGTTAAGGTAGTTAAATCTGGCAAATGAAATTTACATTAGTTTCTCAAATAATAATACAGGTAGTTCTCGATTTATGATCACAATTGAGCCTAAAGTTTCTGTTGCTAAGTGAGGCATTTGTTGAGTCATTTTATGACTTTCTTTGCCACAATTGTTAAGTGAATCACAGCAGTTCTTAAATTAGTGACACAGTTGTTAAGTGAATCTGGTTTCTCCACTGACTGTGTTTATCAGAGGTCACAAAAGGGAATCATATGACTCTGGGACACTGCAACCATCATAAATATGAAGTGCCTGAATTTTGATAATGTGACCATGGGGATGCTGCAAAGGTTGTAACTGTGAAAAATGGTCATAAGTCACTTTTTTGCCATTGTAACTTTGAATAGTCATTAAATGAACTGTTATAAGTCAAGGACTATCTGTACTAGTAATATATCTTATTCTATTAATTTTATTATAGTGCACACTACACACTTTGCCAAGGTTCTCCAACAGGATTATCTTAGTATTTGATCCCCCTACAATGTTAATTACAGAAGATCATAAAGATTATGCCATGCATCATTAGTAACTAATATGTGACAAAATCCAAAGGAGTTGGACCCAAATGTCTTTCAACTTATAAGGGGTATCAAATAAGCCTATATCGCTGTAATTATTGAATATTGATTTTATCTTAATATGACTGCAAGATTATGCTCCAAACATCTAAACTGTGTTCAAATGGACTAAACAGAACAATTGACTCAAGGCGACAATGGCAACTATAAGGAAGTAAAGATTATTCGGGAGCACTTGTTACCCTTAACCATTTCTAATTTCTATGACCAGAACAATTATTTCTGAGAGTCTTGAAAGAACTTGTTAATGTCATCTCAGCACCCATTCTATTCTGCTTAAGACATTATGGAGTTCATTGTCAAAGGACAAAAGCAGAACAATGCATTTCTATATTCCAAGGTGGGAGGAGAAGACCTGGGTATCAGCAGAGTGGTTGGCTTGATACTGATGCTGGACAATACTATGGAACAGATTATTAAATAATCAGTTTGTGAGCATTTAGAAAACAAATGGATTGTTTGGCAGGACCCAGCACAGACTTATCAAGAATAAGTCATGTCAACTAGCTTTACCTCCATTTGATAGAATCATCAGTTTAGTTAATCATAGGAATGTAGTGAAGATAATGCATCTTGACTTTAGTACAGCATTCAACAGTCTCCCATGAGATTCTAATAGACTAGATGGAAAAGTTTGAGCTGCACTACGCTATCAGTAAATGGATTCAGAACTGGTTGAATGGACATACTCAATAAGTGTACATTAATGGAACTATGCAAAGCTGAAAGAAGGAATAAGCAGTGTACAACAACTTTCTGTTATAAGGCCTGCATTGTTCAACATACTTATACATGACTTGGATTTGGAATTGGAAATTATATTTAACAATTTTTCATGAATTAACATGGAGGTAAGGGGATACAGCATCATCTTGAAGAACAGTCTGAAGAATCAGGAAAATGATTCTTCAGGCTGGAAGATACATTGATACATTGGAAAATGAGTAGAAAAGTGGCAAGATAAGTTTCAATTTGCCCTTGAATATGCAAAGTTCTATATTCAAAGCCATAGGCATAGAAAAATCAAAACAGTAGGAATAGAATGGGGTGACACACTGGGCAGATGTCTGCAAAAAGGGTTGGGGTGTCTTGAAGGATCAAGAAAAGCAAATGTAATTCTGGCCTGGTATCTGACAAGTGGTATCAACAGTTGTCTAGAGTGTAGTATCAAGATCTAAAGTGTCAAGTGTCAAGATCTAAAGAAATAATCATTCCACAGTATTTTGCATTGGTCAACTGAATGCCCCTAAAATAGGGTTGTCAAACTGGTGGCCTGCGGGCCGAATGAGCCACAAGCAGGCCACCCCCATCCCAGCTCTGTGAAGGGGAAAAACGTCATGATACATCACATGAAGGCAATGTGACACCTTGAGTTTGACACCCTTGCCCTAGAATATCTAGTGCAGGGCACCGTTTGGAAAGACATTGACAGAATGAAGGATGTCCACAGAACAAAAACCAAGATGACAAGAAACTTCGAAGGAAAATTACAAGAACAGTTGAAGCCACTTGGTATTTTTAGCCTGTGCAGCACTATAGAAGAGAAGACTGCAGTGAGATATAATAGCTGTTTCCGCATATCTGGTGGCCTGTCTTGTGGAAGATGGACTGGAATTGTTCAGTTTTTTTCCAGGAACAGGGGACAAAAACTAACGGTTTAAAATGAAAAGAGGGTAGATTTCAACTGGGCATGGGGAGAAATCAGGGGTGAAATCCAGCAGGTTCTGACAGGTTCTGGAGAACCGGTAGCAGAAATTGTGAGTAGTTCGGAGAACCAGCAACTACCACTTCTGGCTGGCCCCCGAGTGGGGTGGGAATTGAGATTTTGCAATATCCTTCCCCCAGGAGTGCGGACGGAATGGAGATTTTGCGGTATCCTTCCCCTGCCATGCCCACCAAGCCACGCCCACAGAACCGGTAGGGAAAAAATTTAGATTTCACCCCTGGGGCAAATGTAACGGAACATTTATGTAACTCCTCAACAGTGGAGTAGAGTGCTTGGGTGGGTGGACTCTATCTCAATGGAGGTGCCTGAAGTAAGGCTGGAATGGCCATCTTACCATGTCTGTAGTACAGTAAGTCCAGTCTTGCTCCGAGCAGAAAATTGAACTAAATGACCTCCAAGCTCCCCTAACAAGCCTTATTCCTACTTATATAAGTCTGAAAACAGTTTTCATCCACATGGACCATTTTGTCTCTAGTTCAGGGGTCTTCAACCTTGGCAACTTTAAGCCTGGAGGACTTCAACTCCCAGAAATCCCCACCCAGCAAAGCTGGGCTGGGGAATTCTGGGAGTTGAAGTCCGCCAGGCTTAAAGTTGCCAAGGTTGGAGACCCCTGCTCTAGTTAGTTAAAATCACAGGTCTATTGAGGGCAGATCAAGCCTGCTTGTTATATCGCACCAGGGCTGGTTGGGTGGTGCTGTAAATTGCTAGAGGGGGGGGGGGAAACGGCTGGAGGAGGGAAAGTCAGCCTTGGAACGTTTTTAGAAGGGGCACCTCGCGGCAGGGCCTGGACGGACCGAAGCGGAGGCAGAGGACAAGAATTGAACCTTCTGGCACCAGCGAGGAGACCCATCCACCCCACCCCCCACCCTTAAATAACCAGCTTGCCTCAGCTTCGCGAGGAGAACGGCGCACATCTGCAGCAGCCTATTTCCCGCCTGGGTGACAGCGAGCTGGAGAGTTCGGGAAGAAAGCGACAAGCACGTGGAGCGCCCCGGCTGGCACGCCCTCAGGAGGAGGGAGAGAGCCGGGGTCGGCCGCGCAAGTGAAGGAGGCGAGGCGGGCTTCCCACCTCCCAGGGAAAAAAAAGAGGAACCGATGAGGCGTGAGGCAGCTGAGGCACAGAGGAAGCCACAGAGCGGGGGAAGGGCAGCCGTGGGAGCGGTTCCCTGCTCGTCCGAGGGGTGGGGCGGTGCCGCAGCTGCTCGCATGTCGGTGGTACCAGAGCCTCTCCCGCCAGCCGAGGAGCCCTAGATAACCGGGGCAGACAGGGGACCATGGCCCGAGGGCCGGGGGGGCACGAGAAGGCAGCTGGCTCGCCGTAACCCTGGAAGCTCGCCGTTGCCCGCGCCGCCGCTGCTACCGTCGCTGCTGCTGCTAGCCTGGGCTGCGGCGGGGGCCCGAGGGCAGGGGCCCCTCGAGTTCCCTCGCGCCGTGGTTAACCTGGCCGTGAGCGGGGAGCGCTTTCTGGTGGCCAGCGGCAACTGCTGGTACGAAGTGGCGCCTTCGCTGGCGTGGAAGGAGGAGCGCTTCTGCGAGGAGCCGGCCCAGTTCTGCGGCGAGACGGTGGCCTCGGTCAACAAGCTGCTGCTGCCCTTCGGGCGCGACCGCCTGCTCACCTGTTGGAGTCAGCCTCGAGGCGTCTGCTATTTGCAGAACGTCACCGAAGGGAGAGCCGCGAAGAAATTGGGCCGTGAATTGGTGACCTTCGCGTCGGAAGGCGCGGTGGCCGGGCTGATGTATCGCGAGGACGATCGCTCACCTTGGTCCCTGGTCTGGGCCATGAGCCACAAACTGAACAACTGCCCCGATGACCCCCCGGAGAGCAACGCCAACAAGGCGGTCTTCATCATACTAGAAGGCGAGGAATCAGTGAACGAAATCAGGCAGGTGGCCATGAAGAAGGTGTACAACCTGCACTTCGAGGATGCCTTTCGCTGGCAGAAGTACTTCTTTTTCCCTTATTATAACAATGACAACCCGGAGGCCAAGATGCTCATCGCTCTATACGAGAAAAACAACCTCAGGTACAATAGCCAGGTCCTGCGATGTGGCGCCGGCAAAAAGATCAAAATTCTTTCCTCGGCGTACCTGGAGCAACGCGCGCTCTGGGTCGGGATTTTCGGCTCAGCCTCCACTCCCGCCACTCCGACTTCCACCGGCCTTTGCATCTTTGCTCTTAAAGAGCTGCTGAATAACGCGAACGAGTGTAAGTTCGGGGAGTTCTCCACTTCCGACTTGATTTCGGATTTCCAGCCTCCAAACACATGTGTGAGTAGTACCTTGGGTTATTTGTTGGCCAGATGCCTGGCTAAATCAGCTATATTTAGGGTCAACTTGTTTAATTGTTGCAAGCTATGTATTTATGAGAGGCAGGAGCCCCGAAAGATACAGAATATTTTGGCAGACTGATCCCCACCCTCAAAAAAGGCATAGCCTTCCATCCTTTGCAAGCAGATCACAATGGAAGCCAAAACTAAAAGGAAAGTTTAGCGTTTTCTGCAGGATTGTGCCAGGATCCTGGGGTAAGGTGTATTTTCTGAAGGAGTGATTCACTACTGTATTTTGCAGTGATGAGACACAGCAGTCAAAAAGTTATTTCAGATTCTTTCATTGTTTTTCCATACTGTTATTGTTCGCTTTCCATTGGCTTCAATGAAAAAAAAAAACCCCAGTAGATAAAGAATGCTTATGCAATGAGAAGAAAGCTGATAGTATGAGACTCTGGGCTTTGGAGATGCTTTAAAAGTATCAGTGAAGGAAAATGTTCATAGCTCAGGGGGTCTTTGGTGCTCTCTTGGCACCATGAGGGGTGCTTAGCTCATGAGGGGTCTTTGGTGCTCTCTGAGCTTGGTTGTTTTTTTGCAGATATTTCATTACCCAAGCTAGGATTAGCACTATTATTTATTTATTTATTTATTTATTTATTTATTTTTATTATTTGAATTTATATGCCGCCCTATCTCCGATAGGACTCTCGGCAGCTCACAACAATAAAGCACACAAAGTTCAATTTTTTAAAAATACCCAATAAAACTATAAAAACCATTAAAATCCCCTCTAAAACCCCTTCAGTCCAAGCCGGCCAGGCGGAATAGCCATGTTTTAAGGCCACGGCGGAATGAGTGAAGGTCAGGGGCCACCCGGAGCCCCAGGGAGAGCTGATTCCACAGGGTAGGTGCACCCACAGAGAAGACCCGCTCCCTAGGGGTCGCCAGCTGACTAGCACCAAGATCCACTCATTTAAAGGTACCATTATTCTTTTATGACTGTGGGAAGTGGGAACAAATAGAGACTAACCAGGGAATGAAATTCCATGGATAAGGTTAGGCAGTTTGGATAATAAAATTCCTTTGGAGAAAAATCTTGGCATTCATGCTTTAAACCAGTAGCTGGTCCAAGCCAAAAGTGAAAGCAATTATTTTATATTTAATCTTTCCACCAATGAATAGTGCTTGTCCACGTCCAGATTCAATTGGACTAAAAGCAATTATTTCTCTCTTTAATGGTGGAAAGCTATGAGTTCTAAAGTATTGATTGATTTTACTGGGCATTAGGATTGCTGGGATCTTGGCTTATATAGCTGACACTGCTATAAGGATCCTCTTCAGTTGCAGAATAAAATAATAGATTGGGAACTTTCAAATGACCTTTTATATTGCTTCTATTACTTTGGTATATTTGTAAACTCAAAGTAATAAAATCATTTAAAATGGGAATGGTAGAAAATAGTAAGAGTTTCATTGCCTTAGTTTAATCTGTGTGATGATAATGGTAGAATTAGGGGGAAATGTTTTTCTCCTTCAATTATGAATCTTACCTTCACATGTTTTTCAAAGGAATTATTCAATTATGAATCTTACCTTCACATGTTTTTTCTGAGCAGCCTGTGACAATTGGCCTAATTTTTAATATTCCCTGCAAGAGATGATGTAAATTCAGATATTTAGTGTCTGTTCATTTCTTGCAGCCTCTTGCTTGGGAGAGAGAAACAAAGATGTGAGGAAAAAGAATGGGAGAGAGAAAGGGGGAAGCAATAAAGGAGAATATTTATAACTCAGGGTTGAAATGAAGGGTCTTTGGTGCTCTCTGAGCTTGGTTGTTTTCTTGCAGATGTTTCTTTATACTTTATTTTTTATGTTAAACTAGATAACATAATCAATGCTAGCAGTGATTATGTTACTAGTTTGGGTAATGAAATGTCTTCAAGAAAACAACCAAACTCAGCACCAAAGACCCTTTAAAAAGGGAAGCATTGGAAAAAGAGAAATATTGTGTGTCCTTAGCCACTTTTGATAGAAGGCTGAATCCATGAGGTTGCCACATCCCACAGAAAGGAGAAATCCTCCCATCCCTTCCATCCTTAAAAGTAATGCAATCATTCCTCTAGACGTGAACCCCCATAGGGCTCTAAAGAATGTAACAGGCTAATGATAAAGACTCTTTTTAGCCTGAGCATTTGTTGGGGACTAATGGCAAAGGTTAGGGTCCTTGGGCTGCCTTTTTTTCCCCTGAATACATTTCAGTCAAATTTGGGCACTAAAACATTTTTTCCTGCCAAACCAAATAAACAAAATGAAGAAAAGAAATGCAATCCCATTATTTTTCTGGATGTCTTGCTGCTTTTTGATGTCATCAAGGATGATACCCATTTAAAACTGTGAGGTGGAATCTTTATTTAGTCACCAATTCATAGAAAGCTGTGCTGGAATATTCAGTTATACTGATAATGCAACACAGTTTAGCTGGCTGTTATTGTATTCTGGAGGCTACTTAACATTGATCTTAAATTGGTGGCTAAGGCTATTTGTAGTGCATAATGGTTTGTATGCAAATAATGCACATATCAGTAACCATAATTTGTTTTAATCATACAGTAGTTTGGATAAACTTGAATAACCACATATAATATTGAGTCATAATTTGTTTTAACTATTGTTAAGATATTTGAACAATATCAAAAAGATATTTGAATTAAAATAAAATGGCTGGATTTATAAACATGCTTATCTAATAAAGAAAATCACATCATGGATTAGTGTAGTGTGTAAATCCACCTTATTTTTCATTCTCTTATGTTATTTTTAAAAGTTACCATCATTCAAAAAAAGTCAAAGTAAGAGAGAAAAGAAAATAATGTCAAGATTTTTAAAAATTGGATAAAAGCCTATTCAAAGCAGAAACTAACATGTCCCATACAGTAATACTTTCAGACCCAACAGTTTCTAGCTGCAATTGCTATGGCACAGAATTTCCTAGAAATTTTACAGTCCTAAATGTTTAACAGAAAACATACAATTGCCTGTAGGGACTAAGTAATTTGTAAATGGAAGAGAGATTAACTCCGTCCTTCAAAGATAACAGGGCATTTCAAAAACACCATCTCAATGTCAATGTCTGACCGTATGCGTAAGAGCTCCGAATAGGGGATATTATTGAATTTCCTAGTCAATACCTTTTTCTATTTTCTAGGCATGTCAGTTTGAGTGGCCTCCTAAAAAAGAGTGCAAGTATACAAGGAAAGTATTTGGGGATGGATGGATGGATCCATGACCTTATGGTAGCAGAGATCTGAGATCTCTGCTACAATAAGGTTCCTCTGTACATCAAGATCAATGATTCTTTGCTTGACTTTGGTCCAGGCTTTGTCTGAACCTAATTGTCTGTTACCCTGTTTCCCCCAAAATAAGACATCCCCTGATAATAAGCCCAATCGGGCTTTTGAGTGCATGGCAATAAGGCCAAGCGCTTATTTCAGGGTTCAAAAAAATATAAGACTTATTTTCGGGAAAACACATTCCAGGTAGTTTCTCATTCTTACAATGAGAAACTACCTGGAATAATTTGGCAGTGATTTGCTTCTTCCATGGGAAATTATGTCTGTCAATGCTCTCTGTCCATCAATACTAATTGGACTGGGAACTCATTCTCATAGATTTATTTGAGCCGGTACTTTAATGGGGAGAGCTTCAGATAAGCCTTGGGAGACCCACATCCAGGTTCTATCCTGATTGGCGCTGTGATTGAGCTACAGATGCTGTAGCTCAATTTTCAATTCTCTATCTCCTGGAAATGTCAATCTTCAAATCTTACACTCCATGCACAATAATCAGTCAAAGCACTAAGTGCTAACTGCCTGTAGCAATTATTTTTTTCAGAACTAAAGAATTAAGACTTTTGCTATACTTTATGTGTGTAGTGCTATGGATATAAATATATCCTTGTACTAGAAGCAGTTTAGTCCAAATTTCTGATATACTTGGTTGGAATTATTTGCTCTGTTGAAATTCACTCCTCATTTTCTTAAAATCAGGTATGAAAAAGTTGAGTTGAACTGATTTTGACTCTGAGTGAATTGGATTCAACCCCAAAAGTAGATACTGTTTCCTAGTCTACTTTTAACTCAACGTTGTGTTGACTATTTTAATTTTTGGAATCTGTGGTGCGTGCCATATGTCTATTAGATATCAGTTTTGGATTTTAATTGTACTTATATTTTGCAGTTTTAATCTTTTTAAAATCTAGAAATATTAATTATATGGGATTTTTAAGGTGTTTAAATAGGTCAGTGAATCTTAAATCCAGATGATAATTTTCCTATATAAATATTTGTTGCAGGTTATATATTATTGCATTCTTTCATTATTGTATATGTATTGTTTGGAACTGCCTTAAAAATATTTTAATAAAAATCCATTTAAAACTAGCTATCAGCTATTGTACAATTAAAAAAAAAAACATATTTTTTTTTTGCTACTTTCCGTGTTCTGCAACTTAAAATTCAGACCAATTTTTGGACAATATTCCATGTTGATCTCACCTGAGCTTAATTTTCAGCAGATGTGTGTGTGTGTGTGTGTGTATAGTAACACTGTACAATTTAACATTCTATCCAATTGTTTTGGTAGTAACTTCAAGGGATATATTCCAAATATACATATATAGATAATATAGTTTCTGTTTTTTGAAATCTTCACAATTCTTAAAATTGGCTTATAATTTTAGTTGATATACTTTTGCAAATTTTATGTTGAGGAATTGTTATTCCCTTCAGCAATTATTCCCCTTTATATATAATATATTGTATTTTAATATTATTCTGTTTCAACTTTTCATCACCTAAAGGAGCTGAAAGTGCAATTTAGACAATTACAGAGTAGACTAAGCTGGTGCATACTAAATAATGTTATTTTTAACTGTCTTCTAAATATAAGAAATGTTAAAATTAGTTCAGATCTTGGAGTTTTTATATGCATAAAGAATAAGCAGAT